CATAAAACGTATTTATTTCTCAAATAAAACTTATAACAGTCTCGTAAGATTTTCTGTAAAAAGTATATGCTGTAACGAGAACCACCACAGCAATAATAATTTAATTAAACTGTGCATCCACTTCTTTTTATTTTCAATTTTTTTTGCTTTTTTATTCAAAGGGTTAGGTGAATAACTTTTTTTTTACTTTATTAGTTTGTCACTTAATACTTAAATTCGAAAAATACAACGCTGATCGTAATATACTGAGCCACTTCACACGTACTCACCACCGTTGATTTTTTTTCAACACAATATAATTACGTTGTTACCGTGTCTGGGCTCACCTCAAAACAAAGATTCATCGACGCAATTTTTTTTATATTTACTTTTTTAAAATACAGAAGCCTTTCTTAAAATGCCATATAGATATATACAAAATTCAAGCTGAGCGGCTGGTACTTGACAGAACTCAGAAAAGCTGTTTTCCGCGACACATTTCTAATTGGACAACGAGAAACTCATTAAGCAAAAACAGAGAGGTAAAAACGCACGAGTGCAGAAACAAGAACTCGAGACAGAAGAATATTTTTTTAAAATTTTTTTATTTTACCTCACAACCAGAATTTAAAAAAAATGTATCGTGGTTGAAAAATCATACTCTGTAATGTTGTGATAATTCGACCCCCTCGCGTGTCGTACATTTTAAGCTCTTCTGAAGTTAAATATTACACGTTATTTAAGACCTATGGCGTATCAGACGTGTCTATAATGGGATTACGGGGGAACGAAGTCTTTTTCCATTAAGTGCTCTCAATTCATGGTCAACGTTTTTTTAAGTATTAAATAAACGTGCTTTCCGATTTGCGCCTTCGGCTCAGGAAGGCCTCTTACGCCTCAGCTTAAAAAAAAAAAAATAAAGTAAATAAATAAAAATAACTAAACGAAATATGAAAAATAAGATGACAGCTGAAAAAAGGCACTCACAGATCATTTAATTCGTACGAATTTCCTTCTTGTCATCGTGTACGGTGATGAAACAAAAAAAAACACCCCTTTGTCAAAACAAAACTTCAGCCCCGAAAATTACCCGGAAAGGGGAACAAAAAAGGAAAAAGGCGTAACAAACGTTCTCTGCGGGATAAAAGGGGAGGAGGTGGCGTAAAAAACGGGTCGCGTTACGAAAGTTTGAGAGGCAGAGAAAGCTCATTTGAAGCAAATGCAGGTGTGTGGGAACAAACACGCGAGAGGTCCGCTGCTGGTGAATAATAAAGGCGCTTGAAGCGACGCGCGATGAGGGAAAACAGCGCAAATGAGGGGATTCTCTTCCTCTCGCGCGCCCTCGAGAAGTTGAAAGCGGTGCCCGCCACCATCGTTTTATCTCTCTCTCTCTCTCTCTCTTTCTGCGGTGCAAAGGGGTAAACAACTCTAGTTTTTGTAGCGCGTGTGTTCTTTGTCACTTGTTTCTACCTCTCTCTTTTTTTTTCTCTCTTGCAGGCAATTAAACGAGAAATGACTTGATCATGTAATCATTTAACTTTTTTGTACTTCGTGCCTTCCTTGTCATTTTCATTTTTCAATTGTGCGTCAAATGCGATTTGTTGTCGTCAGAGCTTATTATTTTACTTTCGGTAAACAAAAATGGTAGACGTAGAATTTCAGGTTAATTCGATATATTTTAATAGCAATGAAGTGAATAAAACACGCAATTCTCATCGCATGTAGCCTTTAATAATTTTTAAGTATCGATTTCCAAACTAGATTAAATGATCGATACACCTTAATCTTCTGATTCGTTTTTAGAAGAAGGTTGTCATTAGTGTGGATCCAAAATGTCAGATAATTAGCCATTTTGACCACAATAACTTTACTTCTCGATGATATTTTTATGAAATGGAAAACTGAAATTTCGGCTTTGATAAGGGACTATCGAATTTTTCTAGTTATTTTTCTGACAAATAAGGAATGAAAAAATAAGAGAAGGGAGGAATCATTGTAAAGGGACAGAAGGAAGAACCGAAAGAGGAGACGAAGAAAATTAAATGGTAAAAAACGCTGGTGAGATTTTCCCTCAGCCGCAGGCTAGCTTTGCTTTACCAAAACGTCACGAACATACCACCGCCGTGGTCTACGACACCTTCTTTTGCTACGTCTTCGCGCACCTCATTACACACGTGCCTTTTTTTTTCTTTTGTAATACATCTGAGTGCCANTGATATATAAATGTTTGTAAAAAAAAAAAAATGATTATCGTGCATATTTCGAAGTGCTTATTTTTTTGGGATTAAAGGTTTGAAAAAAAAAACCAAATTTACAGAGTAGTTTCATTTCATACGTTGACAACGTTTTAGGATCTTAGAGGTTATGTGTCCAGAAAATAGATTATTATGTTACTTTTGAGGTTATCTATAAGACGCACAAAATTTTCTGGCTTTTTTCTGACTAACTTTCTAATTTAGTACCTATCTTTTTCTTTGTAAGAAGCTACTGTATAGTTATGAATAAAAGTTTTCCTCACGTACTACAAGATTTGTGGAAAAAAGACAACAAATTTTATGTGTTCTACACCTATACATAACCTCAAGAGTAAAATAAAAAAAATAATTTTTTAGTCAGTGAACTATAATACCTTAGAATCATGACATGATGGGCCAATTATGATTTTAAGCTTTGATGTTACGTAAACAAATACTTGAAAAATGACCCTCAAATGGCCACATACAACCATGACTCATGACCAGATTTCATCGAAATGGGAAACACATCTAAAAAAACGGTTTCAAACAGTTTTACGCATGAATAGTTTTATGTGTAATTTTATAGCTAAAATCACTGTACTCTGATGTCATAAGCCTCTCACAGCTGAGTATTCATAAGCTGTACATTTGTCAAATTTTGTTGATAAAAAAAAAGAAAAAAAAGAATAATTTTTTCAAAATTTTTCGATAATCTACTTTGGGAAGTAAATAGAATCCACTTTTTTCCACGCAATTTTAAAATGTTTCTACTATAAATGTTGTTTTCCATTAACGACGTTTCGCGAAAACGTGATGGCACTTCGACTTTAATCACTCCTTGTTGAATTAAGAGCGAAAAAAACGGAATCGACGCCACGCAATACTCGGGAACTTTATATTTTCTTGCGATGAAAAAGAAGAGAGAGAGAAAGAAAAGAAACTACATCTAGAAGAAATCAAGTGCAGCCAGCGAAGTGAGAATAAGACGATGGAGCTGTATATGTATACATATACGTGGTAGTAGTTTCGAGTCGAGTGCGCTGAAATTACATAAGTTAATACAAACACAGAGGAAGTGAGGAATGGGAGTGAGAAGAGAGCTCTCTGCGTACATCGAGACGCGTATAGGGGAGGGGGATTCAGGCTCCAGGCCTTCGGAAGTTTATCTTACACTGTTGGCATTACACCACTGTCAAGTTTGCTTTGCCGGCTTTGGCCTCTCCTCCTCCCCTCATATTTTTTTCTCTCTTCTTTTGATTGCTCGAGAAACTTTCGCTCACAATTAAGACGCTCGGCTCTCTATACTTTCCCAAACTCTCTTTCCCATCTTTTAATCAACCAAGAAAACTCATTGCCAGCTCGGGGCTGTTTGCGTGTGAGTCACGTCCGTCTGCGCCGGGCCATCGTCGATCCACATCAAATACGTATTATATGTACACGTTACGGACACCATTCTTTTTTTCCCCCAAGCGTTCGCCCAGACAATGAGCTTGTCTTCGTTGGATGGCTTTTGACTGTCGTGAATACAACTCGTGTTGAGCCAACAATAACCCGTGAATATTCAACAACTGTTGACAACCCGTGATTAGGGGCATGCATGTATAATACAGTTTTCCTCGATTTCAGTTCTCCATCTCAAAAGCCTTGTCTCATGGTTCGGTAAAAAAAAGTGCATTGTTTCAAGTTAACAAGTATGCAGAAACATTGGATGGATCATCAATTGTCTGTAACTCATTATAAAAAACAAGCAATTGATGACAATATAACACGCGTCGATTCCGAAAAGTGCACTCACTTACTTTCAAATATGTTTTCGAACCTTTTGAATACCTTGACCACAAGACCATTCCATTGTTTGCAAAAACATACGATGAATGCATGAAAAATGGTAGAAACCTGTTATCAAGGTGAGCTGGTATGGTAAACCTCATGCATGCCTTTGTAGTAATTTATGCATGAAAAACAAGAAATTAAAAAAAAAAAAACATGTATTTTAAATATTAATCAAGTGAAAATCGATACTAAAGTTTCTAGTATTGATTTTTTCAGTTTTTCAGATCATTTTTTGCTCAATGAAATCATGGTATTTTTCGTATGCGAGGCCAAAATATCGATGCTCTTCTAGCATTTTCTAGCGTTTTTACCAAAGACCTCTGAAGTTCTTTCAGAAAAGTACCCACATCCGTTAATTAATTAATAGATATCCTCGCAATCCATTAGATTGTGTTTCACAATAGGGCCACGAATGTACCTTTACCAGCAACACCCCGTGAGAGGTCAACGATGGTCATTGTTGGTCCACCTCGAGTTAGCAGCACCAGGAGAAGGAAAAAAAAAAAAAAAAAAAAAAATAATTAACCTTGTTCATTTTAAATGATCAATAGTGTATTCAGTGACTGCTGCGTTAATTAAAATACGCAACCTTATCCAAGCATCGGAGGATTATTGGTCTGTTGAGGGACGAGAGTAAGAAAAACAAACATATTTCATTGAAACAAGCGAAATTAAAAAAAAGTGGTCTAATCTCTTTTGATTGTTTACATTAGGAGCGTGAGCTTTATTAAATTATATTGATCTAGGTTTTAATTCAACCGTCTCGTTATTTACGTTGTGTTGCATTAGAACGAAGAATGGCATCAAGTAGTTAATGCAGTTGTAGATAAAATTTGGCGAAATTTAATTCTCTTTTTTTTGTTGAAAACGTCAAATTTATCCATTGCTGATGCTTTGACATAATTATCGATTCTTTGATCAATGTCGGCACGTACTTGTAACCCACATACTTTAGGCGAGATGTCGGTAATGGGATATACGCACCTGATCCTGTGGCGTGGGCGATTGCGATGATTCTTTGTTGTTCTGGCTCGGACTCCGGGACGAGTGGTTTGTGTCGGACTTTGTGCCGAGCTCGTAGATGTTGATCATGTGGGCTGCCTGGGCGTGGACCATCAACTCCCACGCGGATGGGAAGGGATCTTTGCAGAGAACGCACAGCAGAGAGGCCATTGAGTTTCCTGTTTTGAAGTGTGGTAGAAAGGAAGGGGGTTTTAGAGCGATACGCCAATTAAGGTTGATTGTTTTTTTTTCTTTTTTTTTTTTTATAATTATACGTGAGGATGGTTAAATTTTGTATTTTTAGAGAACTTTACATTGGAGTGAAATATTCCTACCCAAGAAAACTTTGATTGTAACGTAAGAAAGGTTATTGTTTACAGAACTGTGCAGTTTTTGTTCTGAAGTAAAACATTTTCGCGCAAAACGGTGTTTAAGAAGGGGCAACTGTGCTTGCAAAAACAGTTATTAGAGACGGTAACAGTCATAACTTAGTAAAATGGAAGAAAATGACACTAAATTTTTTAATACATACTATTATTATTATTGACAAGGAAAAACTAACCAAGCTATAAAATTAACACTTCATTTTTAGCAAAGAGTAAAAATAACGAAAAAAATTTACATGCACATGCACTCACCCGCATGCATTGCGATGAACCAGATTTCCCAAATATTCATGCAGAAACCCATTTGACACGTTTAAAGTTTTAGGAAGCAATTTGACGCCAAACCAAAAAAATTGATGTACAGTTTTCTACTGTTGGCAAAAGTTAACTGAACCAATAAAAAAAAAGCTTTTGTTTCCTACAACATAGCCCCATTATTGCCATTATTATCAAAAGATGAAAACGTGCGACTCGATCCATGGATCACGTATCTTTTCCAAAAACTAAATGATGCATTATTAAATTATTACTGTCTACATCCCATTGAATTTTACTAGCAAATACTTAAATAGTATAAAAAAAAGCCCAGCGTCGTGGTATCAGACGCCAAAACGTACAAAAATCCCAACCCTTTCGAAAGAGAAAAAACAAGAGAAGTAAATAGGGACGACTTTAAGCTTCGTTAGCTCAACAAGAGCGAGCCGCAAGCTCCAACAGCTGGGGGCTAAAAAATACTCGTGTCTTTCTCTCTTGCCTTTCTTTATCCCACACGCATTAGTGCACATATTAATCCATGCAACAGCGACTATCATGCATCCATAGCTCCGAGGGCACACGGAAACACACCAACGTGTGCATACGTACTGGGAGTGGCGCCGTTAAACGTGTGGCATTTGCAGGTGAACCGCAGCTTGCAGTAATCCCGTTTGTGCTCGAGCAGCTCCCCGAGATCCGTGAACATTTCCCGGCAGTTGCCGCAAATTAGTATGTCCAGATTGCCTGCGCAACGAAGAAAGAACAAAAATGAAGAAAAAAACAAATACAACAGCCCACATTTCTCTCTTTCCGACCATTTTTTTTTTTTTTTTTTTTTCCCCGGTACTTTATACCTGCCTTGTTAACCGACGCGTCTGAAAGTATTACGCTGCGTTGCGAAAAATTACGCGGCTATGATGAACGATTCGACGGATTTTCACGCGCGGCTGGCTCTCGGTATCCCTTGTTTCTTTCCTTTTTCCCACTGCCCTGCGAGTGTGTTGGTTCTCTTTTTTCGGATGTTTACCTCTTTACCCCGATAAAAAACCTGATGAAAGCGTGACGAGTCATATTTTTCACGTTAATGATGCAAAAACTGGATTTGGTACCTACACTACACTCACGCACACACCGGGGTTGTGCGCAAGAGGGTAGATCCGATGCAAGCACGACTAAAATGGAGCACCGCAAACGAATCTTAGATTCGTGCAAGGAAAATCGAGTGTAATTAAAACCACGTAGCATACCGATTTCGAGGGTTTAGTTGGCACGTCTCATCGAAAACTGTATGTATCCGCATATACCTCGTGCAAGTGGCAATTAAAATTAATTAAAGCTGATAATGTCGACAAGATATATCACGTGGGTATGTTGTTCGTGAGAGACATATAATCAAAGGAGGGTGTAAATTTTCACGCGTTGAATTCGTTATGTGCAATAAAAATTTGAGATCTACATTGGATCAAACTGGTAAAACTTCACCATCAACATTTTTTACTCAACGTTATGTCGTTTAGGAACCGTTGGGTAAATCAAAGATGGCGATCAATGCATGATTCTTTCACATATTGTATGCCTGAATGAATTCCGAATCAAAGAGCTATATTAGAAGTTACAATGTAATATCCATTAAATCGTTTGTTAAGTACAAGTTATATTTTTAGTACTGTCTGAAGTGCAAACAGCTATACTTAGCCGTGTTTATTGTATTTACATTGGCAGCCACTGGTTGACTGTAGTGTCGTTTTGTCTAATCCCTTGCTTTAGCCGCACATAGCGAATAGACTCCAGTCATACTGTTTTTACTTGCATCAATTTGTTATATTATTGGTTTAAAAAATAGTTGACGTTAATTCTTGAAGTTTCAAAAAATCAATCGAGTTTAAATTTGTATCGATTGATATTAAAAACTCGGCTAAAAACATTTATCTTTGCAAGTTTTAAATAGATCACTTTAAATGTGAGCTCAATTTTTTTTTTTTTTTTTTAATTTCAAATATCGACTATGGCTCTATCTTTTTACCAGAAAATAGCGATTTTTCGAATCAATATTCAAATGCAATACAAGACCGGCATTAATGAGTCCTGTTAGAGTTTTAGATCATTCAACGCCTTATTTCTCAAGAAAAGACCCGATTCATGTATAATTCTTGCACGAGATGTAACTTTTCTCCCTCAATTGTCAATGTACCGCAATCAATTTGGGCCCAATATATTCTTAATTAGCGGATATTCCCGTTATTAAACGTAAAAGTACCCATGAAACAATAAATTGATGATAAAAATCGTCAAACGCGGAGTAACCGGTAACGCGTCACTGAACGCCCTAAGCTTACTTGAGCGAGCACACAAATGTGGAAAGTAGTATTAACAAGGAGACACATAATGCCATCAGGACTCACTGTAAACTTTTAATTGGCTGAGGTCCTGGAGCCCGGCGCTGTTTGTCGTCACTTTTGGCTGTTTCGACGGCTGTTGCTGTGGCTGCTGTTGTTGCTGTTGTTGCTGCTGAGACCGCGTGGGCATGAGTCGGGGTCTCTTCAGCGGAGGCGCCAGGCGAGGCGGGAAAGCCGCTGACGCACAATAGCTGCAATGATACACGCAGAGGCGAAACGGGTGCGTTAATATTATCATCTCAAATGATCACCATTAATTAAAGTGTAATGTACGTGTCACTACGGATTCAGCGGTGCGGTAACGAGGAATTTCTGACACAACTGTTCGTACAGTTTCAAAGATTTAAGGGTCTACTTGGGGGTGGAGTACCTATGCCTGATGGGAGTGTCTGCACATTGTTGCTGTGGATTACGTGTACTTATGATGTAGGCGCACCCTTTGCGGTACGAACGCAAACTTGGCGGTAATTACAGACGAAGTACTGCTTCGACGATTGTACGGCGTGCGAGTCGAAAGGTGCTACGAGTATAAAATTCATGTAAATTCATCGTTATATATTTTATACAATTATACGTTAGATTTGTAACGTAGGACAAAAATGGTAAACGAATTTTCGGCCAAAGCCACCTTTTTCGGAGCTGCAAGCCACAGGGAGTATCGTACAGTGGCGATGGTAACTAATGGGAAGAGACAATATCCCTGAAGCACCGGCGTCTTGAGAAGCCATCCTTTGGGCACAGTTAGACCAATTAGCGAAGAAAAGAAAGAGACGTCAGGGGAGGGGGTGGTAAGCAAGGGCTGGCCCAGCGAGCGTTTCTCAGATTTCGGTGGCTAAGTGGCGCGATTTGTCGAGGGGCGCGTACACGTCCTTGATCCCAAATGAATATGTACACGTGGGTTTTGGGGCGCGAATGCGTTAGTGGGATTATCGAGAAGCTGCTGCCAAGTCCCCTTTTCTTCTTCCCGAAGTCGCTATAGATTCAAGTCTTAGCAAAGATTACGCGCTTGGTTTTGCTTACGCGCGACGGGGGATACGAGTTTCTTCAAGTACCTTCGTGGGATATTGCCAGGCAATTATTTGTGTGCGTGTGCGTGGTGGTGATAAAGTAAAGCGGGTTTTTAGCGGATTTTTCAAGTATATACTAAGATCCTGCAGTGGCTGGAACAGAGAGCAAAAATTCTTGCTCGTCTCCTGAATTTGATTCTTATTATTTATGAGATAGTTTGGGTTACTTTTGTTAGTTGAATACTTAAGCCGTGTATTATAATGTAATCACTTGATTTTGGATTTATTTAAAGTCTTTGAAAAAGGCACCAAGTAAACTGTACACTATAAAGTCAGGCTCAATTTTAGATAATGGAAACGCGATGACGAAGATAACTAGACTTATGTTATTATTATTTCTGGCTAGCCTCAAAAAGAAAGGACAAAAAAAAAGCTGCGAAACGTCTGAAACCCTAAAGGAGACTTTCACTCGATAAATTGTCCCATAATTGCATTGCATAAGGAAATAACCGACAGGTGCTCTGCCTCAAACAATGAGTCAGCTGGAGATGAGATTGCTCTTCTATTCCTTTTAAAAGTCTTTGACGTGTACAGAGGATCGAAAAGCCTAGATAGAGCGAACGAACGAAAAAACGAAAGGATCAAGTGTGAGGAAGCACGAATCTTGCAAATCAAGGGAAAAAAAAGAATAATTTTTCCCTCGCGGTGAGAAGAGAGTCTGAACGGTGGTATAAGGAAGGTAGAAAGGGAGGAATCGAGGAGGAGAAGGGGGATGAGATACGCGAAATGGTTTGTAGCTACGTGATTTATGAGAGACACATAATTGTTTCCCTCCACGTAGTGTTAATGTCGCAGGTATGGAATCACACTGCCCTCGACTCTTTCCTCGATCAAATCCATCCAGTTGTCCCTCACTTATTCTGTTTTTCACTTCCATGAGAAACTTCTCCTGGAAGAAAGTGCTTCTTGTAGCTTTTTCCGTGATCGTTTACATTTGTTTACTCGTGAAAGGTGAGAATTTAAAAAAAATCATGTTGATTATCATGCTCTTCGATCGTTTTTATGACAAAAGTCCTGGTGGAAGACAGTGGAATTATTATACTTCATTGTGCCAGAGATTTATTTATTTTCCTGCCTATCATAGGTATACTTCGAAGATAAAAAGAGAAATAGAGAGGGAGAGACGGATCGTAGTTTCAGGAAGACGTGGATATGGTTCGTTGGACTGAAGAATCACGATTTACTTTTGGAAAAAATCATTAAAAATAATACCAACCGAAACCTTGTGGACGGACCAAAGTTGTGGTCATCCAAGTTCACGTTTATCAATTTTACCAGTCCATTATGAGACTACCACTGCATATGCCCGATATTCGCATCGCAGCGAAAGTAAAACGTAATTTATCGCGAAATAGAAAATAAAAGCGTTCATCTGCGACACATACGTCAGGAGACACTCCATCGAGCAGTATACGTTCGCGCACATTATGAAAATTTATCTGTCGCTCTCGAGTACTACACGTACGACGTAGTAGAGAGCAGTAGCACTTGAGTGATGGTACCAAAGTTCGCGCGAGCGGAAAATGAAATAAAAATTACACGTCGCGACATCGATGGTCTCCCACTCTCACTCTGCATTACGCTGTACCTTTCACGACTCGACGGATGTGTCATTTCGTTGGATCGATGCAATATTCTTGGCTGGAAGAATAGAAAACGACGAGCATAGCAAAAGCTTATTTTGCGCGAATGAATTTTCAGTTCCACAATGCGTGAGCTCGGTGTTCACGGAGGAAGATTAAAGCATAGCGCGCACTTTATGAGTCCCCGGAGGGCCGTGTTTTTATTTAGTCGACGATCCATTCGTATCTCACATCATCGTATCGCATCATACATTCGTCCCTTGATAATCTTTTGGACGGGTGTCTTTTGCGATCTGAAATTCACAGCAGTTGCAGAAGTATGGTTTAACACGAGTAAAGTTTTTTATTTTACAGCAAGAGACGGTAATTAATTTTGTAGATGCCTTAGAAATATCGTTTCTAATCGAAAATCACTTGAACTTCCGATGAAAATCTAGTTTAGAAGGTGTACCACTGTAATTTATCAAAAAAATATACGCGTATCAACAATTCAACCAAACACCCTTGGTTGAGACAAAAAGAAATTTCATATTGTCCGAACTTTGGGAACTAAGAGAGTTTCATTTAAATTTAATGCATTTAATTTACTCCTCGAATTGTTCCCATTATTTTTGGTTGACAGCACAAACGAGGGTTATTGTATTTTTTTTTTCCAAACCATAACGACAAGAAAAGCATTGTGTCATGTTTCTTATTCATAACGCGTTCAAGAAGCAATTCCACAAGGTTATCCTGACCAAAAAGATGCTCGAAAAGTTGTATCATTCTGGGGTTCTTCCAACCAAACAGTTATACATTTTATGGAACGGCCATGACATTGCAAAAGTAGGTATCGTTAACACCCACACTGATCCAAACTGTCGTCGTTCACACCGAGGCATTTAGTTGGGAAATAGAAAAATGAAAGCCTGACAAAAGAGCTGCCAGCAGCACGCACAAGCGCGAGGGAGGTAAAGCAAAAAAAAGGGGGGGGGGTTGCGCGTGAATCGTCGTCATCCGGATATTAAAACGTATATCACTCGAGCTAGGGGGCGCGAAACCCCAACTCCCCTTCTACAACACTCTTAAACCAACCATTTCCCCCCCCCTTTTTTTTATCTTGCATCCAATGCGTTACGGGGAAAACCGAGCTGAAAATGAGAAAGGGGTGGTCATTGGGATATGGTATTTGATTTCGGGGAAAAAAAAGAAGAAATTCTCTAGACTAACAGCGGGGTTGTCCATGTGTTTGACGCAGAGGGCGGTCTGATGAATTGCTGATGGAAAGTTAATTGGAGGTTGGATGGAGAGAAGAGCCATACGGATTACCGGGTATACAGGTGAGCTTTGGATGCTCCTGCACTGCAACGAACGTACATGTTTGTCGATGACGAGTGACATGTTTTTTTCAACACCATATATGCATGGTGGCTTAGAGAATTTTCGTGAGACTTAGAACTGCTCAATGGTTTCGGTTCATACAAACGATTGAGATATATTGTTGTGGATGGTATACCTTATAAACTTTGCAGGACATAAATAAATTTACATGACCCATGTGTGATCCAGATTTAGCGCAACTTGCAACACAATAATTAATTGAAAAACAACATACTCTACGATCAATTCATCACTGAAAAAAAGGTTGCTACGATCGTACAACGGAACAATAGCAGATGTGGCAGAAAAATATTTTCCCCGACCAATTGCCCGTGCAAACGCGCACCTAACTTCCGGAGTGATAACGGAAGTGTTCCTTTTACCGTCCAGTGCAGGAGCAAAGCTCTAAAAAAAGGACAGGGCGTTAAACGATAGCGCCGAAACAGAGTGCAAAAATGGAAATTGCATGGTGAGGTGCAAGCGGAGGGGGCGGCGTGGCGCCCTAATTGCCAGTTTCACAGCAATCAGTCGCGAGAAAGAGACTGTTTGTCGTACACCATCGTACATACGGAATTGCATCTGGGCGTCGCGTCGTCGGCTGGTTAATCTTGTGTGCGCTTCGATCGTGTTCGCTTATGTATAGAGAGGATGGCGGATAAACACACGATGGGGGACGACAAGGAGCAGGGCGATCGACCTCCGATGGCAATTACGTGCGGACAATTGTGTTTTTAATTTGCCGGACGGAATGCCGTATGGAGCTTTTTTCCTGGGACAGACGACTTTTTTTTTTTTTGTACGAAGGGATGGGACGAGGTTAGCGTTGTGGTGCATCAAAGATGGGCTGAAGCTTTATTAATGTCTAGTTACTAGTTTTGATATAATTAAGTTTGAAGCATGGAAGTAATTATAATTTGATTTAGATGTGATTTATTAGAGATAATAATGCCGCATTTTATAACACACTTTTTTATTTGGGTCAGAATTTAAAACCGCATCGTATATTTTCAAACAAATAGAGCAAAAGAGGAAGCAGCGCAAATCTGGGGGGAAAAAAGTAGGGGGTGAGAAAAAACGTAGAATGTGTGTGTTTGTACGTTGATGCGCCAGAAAAAGGGAAACAAAGTGAGGATAAATCGAAGCGATGGTCGAGAGGGAGGTTTTTTTTGTGTTCTTTACTGA